CGCAGAGGTTGAATACATGTGCGCCAAAATCACACAAGGAGGCATAAACAAATTGCCTCCAGCGTGGGCCTCGTTTTAATACAACTGACTCTGAATCGGTGGTCACTGTTGTTTCGTTCGAACCGGTACCGCACTAGAGCGACAATACAGCTCCGTCAAAGGACTTCCTTCGACATCAAGTTCCCCCCTTGTTCCCGATCGCATCGGAAAACCCGCATACTACTAATGGGAACTGCAAAGGATCATCCGGAAAGAATCGCTCTGCCTACTGGCAAAATTCTGATCACCGCTGTCCTTGATTGGCGGACTATCGAAACAACGCCCAGCTGCGGCTTAGTGATCGAGAATTCCATAGGGGAAACTAGGTCAGTGCTCTGAAGCCATTTAGGTGAATAGAAAGCTGACCGGAGTAAAGAAAGATGAGGTCATTTTCATGAAAGGCTAATCTATATGAAAGCTCAGCGAAGCAGATAGACCGATAAAAGCTCTTGAAATTCAACCTGAAGAGAGAATACCGTTACTTTAAGTCACATCTCTCTCTCTCTCTATCTATCTCTATCTCTCTCTCTCTTCATGAGCAAACCAATGACTGGGATATTGAGAGCGCTCGGGGGCCTGCTGGAACCACATAGGAGGAAATCAATGGCGCCTGTGTGCATTCACTAATCCCTGGACTTGCTGTTAGAACAGATCTCGAAAAGCTCACGGGACGATATTCATGCTGTTCAAAACCGAGGCGTTGGGCAGTCTGCGCTGGCAGAGTCTTTGTCATCATGCGATGAAACGGAATTGGCTGTCGGAGAGAATAACAGAACTTAGTCGTCCCATGCCCACCCAGAGCAGGAAATTGAAGACTGATCTCGGTATATGGACAACTAAGTCACAAGCTGCAGGTACCAAGATATAACACCAAACGACAATTCGACCATTGCTCTTGACGAGGTCCGCTACACGCTTCAGCGGGCTGAAGCAAAGCGGTGACTGCGGTTGCACTATGGTGAAAGCGGACTTACGGAGAATCTAACCCTCTCTCTCACCCTTCCAATACCGGGACCCGATGTCAAGACAAGAAGATCGGAGGTCGGGGAGGGCGCAGACAGCTGGCGTGACCAACACTTAACACGCGTTCAAATAGCACGTCTCGCTAGGTAGATTACCCAATGGAAGCGCCATAAAGGCCACATTAACCCATTACCTCTCGGTGATCTCATATGAAATCACTTAAAAATTAATAGCTTTCGTAATTATCTGTCTGTATATACGCATATTTAACCTTCATGCCATATCTATTAGGTATATTTTTCTAATATCCACATGAGATTTTTATCTTGTTTCTCACTCTTTTTTTACCATAGGTAGCCAAGTTCCATAACAAAAATCAAAGTGGTTAAAATTATGGGAGATAATGGGTTAAGAATGAGCCATTGAGCCCGACTTTCAGCCCG